TGGGCTCAAGCTCTGCCAGGGGAGGTTTAGGTTAGATGTTAGGAAGAAATTCTTTACAGAGAGGGTAATCAAGCATTGGAACAGCCTACCCAGAGAGGTGGTGGATTCACCATCCCTGGAGGTTTTTAAGCAGAGATTGGATGTGGCCCTTAGTGCCATGATATAGTAATTGGAGTTGGATCAGGGGTTAGACTTGATGATCTTGGAGGTCTTTTCCAACCCAATCTATTCTATGATTCTATGAAAAATACTGGTCCTTGTAAGGAGAAATGAATAGTCAAATTGGAAAAACAAGCAAAATAAACTTTGGCTCTTTTTCTAAGTGAAGTAGTAGATTTAAGCTTCAGTTTCGTTAATAATGTTCTCTAAAGTTGTTCATATCTGAAAGGTCACTTTTTAGTAAGTATATACTCTCTTGCATGGAATTTCTTAAATAAGTGCTCTAGTACTTCATATACACCTACTTCATGAATTTAAGTCTCATTTGCAGATAAGACTAATGAAAAATGTATATCTAGCTTTTAGATTTTACATGCTCTCCAATTGTACTGAAACTGAGCTTCATAGAAAGGAACAGGACACCTTAACAGCAGAAGGTTTTGGCAAAACCTTTGTTTTAAATTCAGGAACCTCAAATGATTCTGCATCTGTACAAGCTGCTGTGGTGATACCTCTTGTTTTCCCAGTTGTGACATTTTCCATACCTAATATGCAACAGGAAACGAGTGATTGAGCTCTTGTGTATTTTGCTTTGAGAGCATCTACCATTTTGATAACACAAATGGTGTTAACAGGTTTGGATGAGAAATACTACTCCCTGACATAACTCTTATCATTCCTTGAGAACTAAACAGAACTTAACATATACTGCTTAGATAGTATCAGTATTATTTGTTCTGCAGTCATTACACTTAACTTCTTACAAACAAAACCTCCAACCCCAAAGCTTTGCTATGTGTGATGTGATTTAGAGGTTGCTGGTTCCGCTGATGATATTTTATAGGTTTTCTGTTTCTTCAAATATGTTGAAGACCTAGGGAACACAGTTCAGTGACAGCAGTTATGTTCTTGAAATGTGTCAAGGCATTTTGGTGTCCTATTTGGAGAGGCAGTTGTGGCTGCTAGGCAATTTATCATACCTTTCTAAAGAAGGCTTACATATTTACAGCTGAAACCCCATAAAATATAAGGTAGTGTTTTCCTTGAATTAGCGAGTAAAAAGAAACCATTAGAAAATTTTGAAGTCAATTGTTAGCTTGAACTTAAATTCAAATATTCCAAACTGAACCATTAGCAGATAAATGTTTGTTTTACAGGAAAATCAGACATGTTCCTGGTGACTTTCATTTGTAATGATTCATATCCTGGAGAGCTTAAGTTTGTGCGTGAGGAGGTAAACAGTGTGCTGGACATCCATGATACTTTTTTTGAGTTTCACACAGCTCTGGCCTGTGCTCCTGCTCCTGTAGACTGTCAGGTCACAGGTAAGTACCTGGAATTTGAGAGAGTTCTGTCCAACAAATGTTGGAAGGATGAACTGAACAGCAAATTTCTGCTCAGAGGAGGGCTTTAAGAATACCTGTTGTCAAGACACTTGTAAGACTTAAAGTCTTTGTAGAAGTTGTAGAGTGGGAGAGGAGGTAAGTTGTTTGAAGCAGGTTTCAAGATAGGCAAGAAGCTAATTTCGATAATTGCTTTGAAAATGCTTAGTCCTTATCATGACTAGGTACTGCTTCAGCCCAACTCTGAAACAAATGAGTTCATTTTTCTTGACCTCTGTAAAAACGCATCTGTGAATTTTGGAGTAATTACTCTTGGGAAGTAACTGTCAAGGGAACTGTGTTCTGCATTTGGCATAGTGATGTTTTACTGGCAACAGGATGTTCTCTCAATGGATATCTAATATGATTCTGAAAATTACTTCGAATTGTGTATTCATCGATGAAACTTGTATCCTTTCAAACACAATAGTGCTGCAAATATTAATGGGATCTCTGACCTTACTGTATATACCACATTTCTTTCAGATTCTGCAGGCAATGAGTATGATTTAAGTGACTTGAGCAAAGATGGTGAGCCATGGGTTGCTATCGACACTTCAAAGGAAGCGAAGAAGCGAACATTTTTCTTGAACGTCTGCAAGCCTTTGCCCTATGTGACTGGATGCTCTGGTAAGCCAGTGGCAAGTGTTTCTTAACTTCTGACTTTTGATGACCTTATATGCAGAATGATGGCACTGGTTATTTTAGGAGGGTTAATTGAATCCTGCCCATTTAATCACTGAACTCGTATAGACCTGGGTGACATATGTCAAGAGTACTAATAAATAGACTTCTGCAAACTGAGAGCAGTCTTAATGCTTATCAGGACTTTTGCATTGAGATGTATGTGAATACGTTAGGGGAAATTGCACTGAGGCGAGTATTTGCCAGTATCTTTGATTTTATTACTGTTTTTTCAAGAAGAAAGAAAAGTCAAATGTTGAAGCCTGCCAATCGAATGAGGCCAGAATGAGAGGCTTATGCCGTGCCTTACTGAACTTCTAGCCAGTTTGAGATATATATATATATATATATATATATATATATATATATATAAAATATTGCTCTAGTCTTTTATGAGTCTGTGGGAGCAGATAAATTAGTGCAGTTTGAAAGATTTTAGGGAATGCAGGACAGCCTCAGAGACTTTAGGCATGCAATGTCTTTAACTGTATTAATGAATTAATTTCTTTTGTGTTCTGCTTCAGGAGTTTGACACAATCTGCTTTAATGCTCAAAGCTCTCTTAAAGCTACCTTATTATGTTATTTTACAGTAAACTTAACTCTAGTTTTCAAAGCTTTGAACTAAAACCCAGACTTTTTCCTCTAGGTGGTGCCATAGGATCTTGTGTGAAATATGCTGATAAAAGCAAGAACCTTGGAGTCATTCAGATAACCCCCCAGGCTGCTACTGATGGGTCATTAAGCATTATCTACTTGAATGGTGACATATGCAAAGATAAGCAGCATTATTCTACACGTATAATCTTCCAATGTGATCAAACAATGGTAATTTTCTGTGCCAGTTGCTATTAATGAGGCTTTCAGTGCTTGGGGGTACTATATTAAAATAGACAGTGTTTATTCCTCTTAGAGTGGAGAGACTGGTTCTATAAAGTAATATCTTGTATACAGGCTTTTCTCTTGTCTCCTTTTAAGTGCTTTACTGAACTTGTAGAACACAACAGTGAACTCTTATTGTGGAATCCCGTGAGCCAGCAAAAGTAGCTCTTTGCTGAAAATGAGTGCTGTAATTTACCGGTGGGGATCTTGAGGCTGTGCAACTGCAGTTAAAAAAACCCTGCATGTGTGTTTTGAGACTTGCAATGCAACTATTAATAAGCCCCCTGCATATGGCTCTTTTCTGTAGGGATCACCAGTGTTGGAACAGGAGAATGACTGTGAGTTTGTATTTGTTTGGAGAACCTTGGCAGCATGTCCTGTTCACAAAGCAGAAGGTAAGCATAGTTATTTGAGCTTTAAAATATCAAACAAATCCGTACAAGTAGTAAACACTTACTGAAGCTACGTTGGTTACTTGCCCTGTGAGTTTTTTTTGTAAAAGGTGCTGGCATGGGGAGGGATGTCTCTTCTGGACTTTAAGCCAACTAAGTATCCTATCTATCATTAAAAGTCCAAGTTAGGCCTAGTATATTTGCCTGCTATCCTATCTAGGGAAAGAAGATAATATAAAAATGCTGTTTCTGAGGCATTATAGTACTATGTTGTTAAATCCCAGAGAGACTTGCTAGTAAATATTAAAGCGTCACGTTTCGTGAGAACACAGTCGTTTCTATGCGTGGCAACTCATTCCCTGTTCCTCACTGAAGACTGGAAGCTAGACTTTAAACTTGACACTTGTTACTCAGTGGGGGAGGGACCAGTGGGGACAATCTCAGAATTTGCAGTTGACTCCAGGATGTGCAACAAGGAGTCATAAGTTCAATTTCTGGGACTTGATTGGCTCTTAGATGGGAAGTTGAGTGTGTTAACATATTCTCTGCCCTTGCAGGCGATGTTTTGCAGCTTGTAGGTAATGCCTTATAAAACATCCAGACTTTCTATAAAGGATCTGTTGCAACGGTCCTAGACATTATTCAAACTGCCAGTGATCTCAGGTGGCATGAGCCATGCTTACAAGCTACTGCTCTGTAGCACGTAATACTACGCAGGACACTGGTGATTGAGTTGTGCTTTTGAAGGGAGGGAAACTGCTGTCTTTAACTTGCTGCCAACTTGTATGATTGAGAAGAGTGTTCATGTGATACAATCTGATGATTTTTTTTTTTAAGTTTCAGAGCAAACAGTAATTTTAAAACTGAGGACTTAATCAGCAACAAAGTTACTGATGTATATCAGCTGATCGGACTCATGAAAGCTAGAATTTTCCTAAACCTTCTTTGTAGATTTATAAGCTGTAGCAAACATTTCCTATGATCAGTTATTCTCTAACTCGGTGAACTTCATAGCTGTTAAAAGAAGATACAAGACTGACATCGAGGACACCTTTTGCTTTGGCCTTGTGACCTTGCTGTTCTTTCCAGATAATTAAGCAAGTGCTGGACTTAGTGACTCTGGTTCTGTACTTGAACTCCAGCATATTTGAAGGAAGAACCTGTGAGGCAACTTTAGAGTAGTTTTTAAACTACAATGTGACTTTTGCATCTTACTTTAGTGGTGGTTATAAAAGTAATGTGCCATTTATAGTGTAGTGGCATAGTTCTAGATATTGGTGATTTCCTTAGATGAGTTGCTTAGTTGTCACTGCCCTAAAGTGCCAACTACTAATTTTTGGGGCCTTATTTTTTCCAGTAAGCCTTAATTGTTCTAAGCGTATTTGACAATTTAAGATCTATTAGCTTTGTATTTTAAATTTTTAACTTTTCTTTAAAGGAGAGGATTGCCAGGTGAAAGATCCAAGGTATGGTCATGTTTATAATCTGAAGCCACTTTCTAATAAGGACGTGAAAGTGAGTACAGATGAGTATGACTACTACTTCAGAGTTTGTGGAGAAATAACACAACCTTGCAATCCAAAGGCTGACGCTGTTGCATCGTGTCAAGTAAAGAAGATGGGCAGTTTGACAAAAGTAGCAGGTACAGCACTTACCAGAAGAAACTTAGACAGTGTGAAGATTA